CCTGTTTCTGGACAGGTCTCTTTCCTCTCTCGCACCTGTTCCTGGACAGGTCTCTTTCCTCTCTCGCACCTGTTCCTGGACAGGTCTCTTTCCTCTCTCGCACCTGTTCCTGGACAGGTCTCTTTCCTCTCTTGCACCTGTTCCTGGACAGGTCTCTTTCCTCTCTCGCACCTGTTCCTGGACAGGTCTCCCCACAAACTGTTCGTGGGCAGGTCTCTGTCCTCTCTCGCATCTGTTCCTGGACAGGTCTCCCCACTAACTGTTCCTGGACAGGTCTCTTTCCTCTCTCTCGCACCTGTTCCTGGACAGGTCTCCCCACAAACTGTTCGTGGGCAGGTCTCTGTCCTCTCTCGCATCTGTTCCTGGACAGGTCTCCCCACTAACTGTTCCTGGACAGGTCTCTTTCCTCTCTCTCTCGCACCTGTTCCTGGACAGGTCTCTTTCCTCTCTCTCGCACCTGTTCCTGGACAGGTCTCTCCCCCCACCCAATTTCTGGACAGGTCTCTCCCTACCTTCTTCTGACCGCCTTTGCCGTCCACGGGAGGGGTGAATTTATTGGGTTCTCGGATGACTCGTCGCTTACGCCTGCCTGCCTCATCCCCTTCCTCGCCTTCTACAGTCTCAGCCATGGAGGTATCACTGGAAGACGAGACGCACTCAGAGCACTGCCTGTTGAGAGAAAGAGGAAAACGCTGATGATTATGAAAGTGCTTTGCTTTAAAATGACACATGTTGTTGTGGAATCCAAATTCCAGTTTAACTTAGAACTCAAACACAACTCAACTCTATATGTGAAGCTAATTTCACAGGACTGCTAAGTATAGAAAGCATTTACTTATAAAACAATGGTTACAGCTAACAAGATATTTGCACTGCAAACATCCTGTGACCAGTTTTCAGCTGCTTTCAGTATTTTCGGCCTAGCAATTTAATGAATTTGGCCCTGGCGTTATAGATTAAAAAAAATCCAAACTTTATCAGGCACTGAAGTAACCTGAAGGTTTGAGCGAATCGAGAAAAGACTGACACTGGGCCAAGTCTGAACTTGGGCCATGTCAAGAAATTGGGCTACATCTGAAATTGGGCCATGCCAAAAAAAAGGGGTGAAGTCTGAAGTTGAGCCCCAGCCTGACACTGGTCTAAGGTTGAGTATATCTCCTCATCCCCACCCCGCCACCAATCTACAACCAGCTCTTACCATCCGCTGAAGGCAGTCTTCTTAGGCATTCGGCTCAGTGGTGGGTCCAGACAGCCCAGATGGTAGTGCTTCTTGCAGGTATCACAGAGGGCCAGTTGGTGCTGGTCTGTGGACTGTTTGCATATACCACAACTATGGGATGAAGAGAAATTTTCAGCATGAATTCACCTTGACTTTTTTCCCATATGTCATCATTTTCAATACAGTGATGGTAATTTACACCCAAAGAAAANCGTGACCAAATGGAGGTAGGAGTCACAGTACCAAGTTACAGCAAGTTACATGAGGAAAAGTTGGTACTTGGATACATCCCTTATGTTCCAATTCAGTGACTCGTGTTCACATCCCAGCCAGCCAGGGCAAACATGTGCATCAGGTTTTCAATCCTTGCCTTGTTCCAATGACTTTCTCTGGACACTTTCTCCTCCCTAAGAAACCAAATCCATTCCTTCCTCCCCCCGCCAATTTCTTCAGGGTTGTACAAGCTAGGAAATAATTTGATCTTTCAAGGAGTCCTTGCTTTTAGCTGACAAAGGGCACGCTAAGCAGAAGATTAATAAAAAGAAAAATGAAGATAATGCATCTCTTACGAGTGAATGACGGCGGGCGATTTGGGCCCTTCTTTCTTGGGTGGGATCTTCTTAGCCCACGGGCTCTTGATGGCTTCGGGCATGGGTTGTTTCTTGAGACCCATGCCGACCAACATCTTCCATAGCGACTGACCCTCCATCCTTTGCTTGGCGGTGCTGATGCGGAGGGACTCCACCTCACTTGTAAGCTAACGGAGGGGAGGCATTGTTTATTGATGTTTACTTTACAGAGGGAAATTAGAAACCAACGCCGAGAATTCCACTCATGAGGTAAGTTGTTTGACCACTTGCCGATGGTATTATTTTTGGCCACAAAGTTTGACTTTTGAAAAAGTTGAGATATAACGGCTAACTTCTCAAGCACAGGCACACAGCACAAATTCACAAGAGTCATTTGAACAGTAACAGTACCAGATTTACTCAAACAACCTCATATTTTTGTAACACTCTACAACACGCCTACAAGGCGATATCTGCTATCACAATAGGTCGTGCACAGCAGCCAAGTTCATGTTCAATACACAGTCTGCCTGGACAGACTTCTCAGGCTTTGTGTACATTACAAAACAGACCAGGAATTAGTGTATCTAGACATCAGGTGGGAGTGAGTTGTGGCACACTTGACCTTTTAACCTGTTTTAGCTGCGACTACGTATGGACAGCCACATCAGGTTGAAATATTCGCCAGTGCCACTTGGTTAGGTTGTAGTCCTTGCAAAATACTCAACCGGATCATGTTGTGTATGTTTTTAGAGGTTAAAGGTCAGATATCTACCTCAAGCAAATGCCTGTCAAGGCCCAAACATTTGGAGGTATATGTCCGATCAATTTATTGATCCTTTTTTATGGTTTTTATTAACAAATAGGCTGAGTTGTTTTTGATATCTGGGGGAGACGAGGACATGAATATGCCAGTTTTTATGTAAGTGTTAATCATCAATAAAGATCTGAGTGATCTGTCTTGAGATTCTCTAAGGCCATATTTTTGCCGAGTATTTCTGAAACTTTCTACCTTGTCATAGAGACCTCTCAGTGTCACCTGTTCCCCCTGCAGACGCTCATTGACTCTCATAGATTCAGCCAGTCTGTTCTTCAGATTGGACATCCGCACATCGCGGTCTGCAAGACAAAACACAGGCTAGTTGAAACAATAACTATAGTTAACCACAGTTTTATTGACGTTGCCTGAACGATCGATGGTCAGACTGGTTAAAAATCTGGAACCAGACCCTGAGGCGTAGTTGTACTCCTGGATAACAATTGCTGATTTCGTTTATCGTTACGTAGGGCACCACTGTTATAACACAAGTGAACAGGGATCTAACCATATATGTAGCTCACATCCAAACATGCCCAAGGTAATCTGCAAGTGACCAAAATGACGACAAATCAATAAGAGCAATTGTGATAGTGGCGATATTCATGAAGGACAGAGCATTTAGAGCAGAGGAGGGGGAGACTCAGATGGACAAAGCCAACAAAGTCTTAGTAGTGCCACACCTTTCGCTGGATTTTCAAGGGCAAAGCAAGATACAAAAGTACCGGAGAAGTCAGGGTGTCTATTCAGTCCACAGTTTGCTAAGTCACAGCAAAGCCATAAACCACTGACCGAGATAGTAGTTGACGAACTCGCTGGTGAACGCTGGCGGTATGTGCCACTTTCTGCGCACCTCGCTGATCTCCTTGACCTGGGCTTGGTGTGGGGACTCCGTGTTGATTCCTAGGAGTTCGGCCTTCTTCATCAAGTGACGGGTGGCCGAGGGGCTGGTGGTCAGCAGACGAGGGACCTGGGATGAGATGGACGGTGTTAACATTGAGTAATCACAAGAGCTCAAAGCTTCCAAAATAATCCTGAGTACTCCGGTTTCAATGTGACCCACAAGGTTTTTACTAATTAATTCATTACTGTTCACCCATTGTTAGTACTGTAATTGATGTTAGGGCTGTTGAAAAATACCACTGAAGGGCTTGCCAAGCATTTGACTACAGGAATCAGAAGGGATGTTTACACTAAGGGCCATCTCTCTCACTTACTGCACTGTTGGAGGTTAGAGCTCACAAACCAAAAAGGCCTAGAGAGGTAGGGTTGATAAGTGCATGATGACTCTCACCCTTCTCAGATATTTCCAAATCCGCTGAGAGGAAGTTGGAAGATTTTATAGGACAAGGTTTAAGAGCCCAGCTACTAAAACTTCATGTGAAGCTTGATGCTTATGGAAAGTTGAAGAACAAATAACGCGTCACTGGTTTTTTCCAAAGTGCAGGCCTTTCACTGAGAGTTCCTTGCAACTGTCCGGGGGAGTGTTACTGCCTATCCCCCCACCAACCTTCTCCGTCGGGACCCAGGGACTGGGCTTCTTGACCCGGGACTCCTTGTACTTCTCCTGCCAGCGCTTCAGCTTCTCAGTGATGCGCTCCTGGGCGATGGGGTCATCTGGCTTGCGCTCTTGGAAGATCTTGAGCTGCGACTGCATGGCTAGGTAGTTCTGCCGGCGGTGGCGCATGCTGGACTTCTCCACGTGCAGTTTGCAGTAGGCATAGAACGGATCGGCAATGTCCTGAGGAGATACATTATATGACAACATGCCAGATCAAGATGCCTGCATAAATCATTCAATACAGACTCATTTTACACATATTTATGGAAAGGAAGAAATACCCCCTTTTTATTTGAGCTATACAACTCTTTTTAAGGGTCCTTCCACAACTCTTTGTAATGAACAATTTTTAATTTACTTCTTCTGGAGACGCTTCTGACAAGATTCCTTCACGCTGACCACTGCAAGAGAGAGACAAACATTGAAAAACATGAAAAAAGTAACATCTCCCTCGAACTGCAATATAGGCGATTGATTTATTATATTTCAACAAAATCTGTCAGCTTTTCATGTATCAAGTGTGCTCTTTGGGAAGTTTGACACAAATTCAGAAAGGCAAGTCTTGTGAGTAACCGAGGGGCAATTAATGTATTCAATGCAACAAGCATATCAATTTCATTACTGGACATGTTTACAAGATCTTTGACTTCGTGAACTAACTACGTCAAGGCCTACTTCCAAGCACCATGCACTGGTACAAACATATCACATGTGCATCACATGTAACCACTTTTGGTTGACTGCACATGCCCATTGTATTTTCCCGTGTATATCCCATTTTCCACTTTCAGCTGAATGGCACAAACAATTATCTGCCCTCACATGAAACTACCCTTTCAGCTGAATACACAACCAACCAATCAGGTGTTTCCTCGCATATTACCATTTTTCCACTTTCAGCTGAATGTGCACAAACCCATTGTGTGTCCTCAGAAGATAACAATGTACCCGAGCAATTTTTCCCCATTTACCCCAACAGTTTTTGCATTGTTACTGCTGAGAGGGCCAGACGGAGACAGAGTCCATCACTAACCATGTGACGTGAAAGTAGTTCCGGCACATGCCGGCATCACAGGAAATGCAGATGCCAGTACGGCTGAAGCGTTCATCCTCACAATAAACGCACGTCTGCCAATAAAAAAAGTAACAAGTATTTCAAAGACTGTCTCTCAGACTGTTAACTATTCATTTTCAAAACACAGATGGGCTCGGGACCCTATAGCACAACATCCACACAGCCAAAGATAACCCAGGCTAGTACAACTCAAAGGCATGTAGGGCTACAACTAGCTTACCCTGACACCCCATTTCCCTGTCGGCATCTCGGACAGAGTGACCCAGCGTAATTTCTCTACGTCAGCAAACGCAACTCCCGGAACGTACAGCGCGCACACCACGTGAACCCACCTAGGACCAAGACATTTGTGAAACGGATTAAAATAATGGACAAAAGAATTTTCATTCAGGGATTCTCAAGTAATTTGTAAAACTGATTTTAGTTTTGCATGGCAGATGGTCATTGCTTGTCTGCAGTAACTCCATAATCGTAAGTACAGCTGACCCCAAATAAAGGTAACATGGACATTTCTGGGCCGAATCATGGGCTTTGTACAGCTCAAAGTTCTTCCAGTTGGCTTTCTTTCCTCTCCTTGTGCCTTCAAATTTCAAACTGCTTACTTTTTCTGAGCCGATGACAGTTCTTAAAGTTACATTCAACATGAGAAAAACCTTTCTGTGTCGGGAGGCGCTGGTTCCACCAACGTTCAAAAGCCCTGAGCTACTAACCTTCCGGCATCGGTCTCTTTGAAGATTCCTCCAGAGTTTGGGCACAGCTCACAGGTCTGAGGAGAAAAGAGAGCAAGTTGAACAACTGACCACACCATGTACAAAGTTAATTCAGTTACATTACCAAACAAATGAGGTCAGCCTTAGACTTGTCTCCAGGTAGCTAACTGAAATTAAAATTTCACTGTAAACAGGATGCTTCATTAAGTTGGCATGACATACAGGGTCGGAAATGCCAGCTTTGCAGGTGTCACAGAACCAGGGCTCAGTGGAGCTTGCTGTCTGAATGCTGCTGGTGGAATCACCGTCCGATAGGATTTCACCATAGCAACCTGGAGTACCAGCACAAAACAAAGAACAGTTAGACCATGACATCACAGACAGAGAATTTCTACATCAGTGTGATATCATTCACGGTAGGAACTGTATACATGCTTCTCTTTAAGAACTTGTTAGAAAATGATGGGACTTGGGGCTTGGATGGGACTTGAACCTCAAACCTCCAACTTACTGGTGCTAAAGCAGATGTCTGCTGGGAAAGCTCGGACAATATTCCGAGGTACAAAGAACCCTGAAAGGTGCAGTACCCCACAAAGTTAATAATCAGACAACTAGCATTGCACACGACTTCTACGGACCTCCTAGTTAATCATTCAATCAAGAGAACAGTTTGCTTCCTCGTAGCAATCGCAAAAAGCACTTTGTGTGGTCGGTAATAACTTTGCTGAATCTTCTAAAGGAACACCTCCAGTGCTTACCCAGTAATGTACACTTTGCAGAAATGAATCATCCATAATTCCTCAGTTTTTTTCCTTTCTGTTTTTTTTTAATTTGTGGGGTGGGGGCTATTCACACGTACTAGTACATCCTCCAAGAACATCCAACTACACTGTAGGTAATCTCTCATCCACGATTATTTGCAAGAATACCATTCCAGCCACACACACCACAGCCTTACCTTCATGGACACCAATTCCGCAGCTGTCGCATTCCACTATCTCATCGCTGTCGATGCTGTCAGTGAAAAAAAAAAATGCTGATCTGCTTGTTTGTATCAATATATGGAATGTAAAGATCTAAATTGATAAACATTGTGGCACTTTCCACTTCAAGAATTCTTAATTCACTACAGTGCCTCCAAGAGACTTCTCCCAGTCTTTCCAAATAAAGAAATCTCAATTTGGTCAGATCATACCCACTCTATTCCACATGAACGCTCACCCATACTTGTTTTGTCATTGTGGGGACTACACATGTTGACATATAGATGTGGATGTGGGGACAGATACGTTATGCGGACAAAATTTTGTCCCCATGGCACGGTCAAAAATTTCCCAACAAAAGAAATTGTCCACTCACAGCAGTGAAGGCCTACCCACTTCCACACGAAATGTGTCACCTGTAAAATCCAGATGCCAAGTCTCTGTACTGTAGTTCACAGTATCCTGAACAGACAGGTGCTTACCTGACTTCTCCTAAGCATACTGCACATATTAGCATCTTGAGTTTTGCTGATGGCTTTTCACCGGAACCAGTCTAAGGGAAACACACCAACAGGAGTGACATACATTTACATTATTGCATATTCTCTATTCCTAACACACATATTGGCAACTGTGCCCAAGTATAATTTTGAGCACAAAGTTATGAAATAAGTTTCCTTCGTTAAATGTGCTGGAACAGCATGTGATTTTCAAAAGTCTTAAGCTTTTAAAGGATTAAAGTCAAGGTTGTCACTTCCCTTTCATTTTTATGTAATAATGCATTCTGTACAAGAACTTCTGCAAATGCTAGTCAATGACCCAAGAAGTTGAGAATTGCCAAGCCTTGACAAAAGTGGAATAGCCTTCTCTCAACCAACCACAAGACACCCAGTCTCAAGTCAAGTGAGTCACATGCCTAGCCTTTATCATCTATACAGATTTCATGCTACATAATAGGCCAATCACGATACCTACAAAGGATGGAGTTTTTTGGAGGCTGTAGCAGAAAAAGGGTAGCCCAAAATGTGAATTATCACTTTAACGTTACAAAAAAATCACAAGAAAGTTTTCAAAATAAAAACATAAGGGTCTCCTGATGGAGTGACTGCGGTGCTGCACGCATCTGATCTTGATTTAAAGCTACATGTACAACTAGGTACAATGCTGGTTGCACCGGCAGATGCTGTCACAATGATGTGATGACATACAGACAAAGCCATGGTAGAATTCTCAGGCCCCACATAGGATCTCACCTTGTCCATGCCTTTCATGCTGCTCACCCTGGCCTTGGAGATGAGCTCCCCGATGCTGAGCTTCTTCCCGCCGTCCGAGTCGGACATCCCCTGGCCGGAATCTTCCTCCCCCTCCTCGTCGTCATCTTCGTTGTCTTCGTCGTCGAATTCTCGGTCTCCTTCCGTGCTCCCGTCCTCCTCCATCTCGGCGGCAGATCCTGCTGAATCTACAACCGCACACGTTGAAATGAACAATAATGTCTTTATTTCAGGCAACAAGTCCATGTCATCTCTTTGGCTAGCGGTTCTGGAGTTGAAGCAAAATGCAATCAACCAGCTGGGTCCTATACACGTTCCTAAACAACCTCAGTTCCAGCTTGATGGTGTACAGCTTGACGCTGCCATTTTTCTAGGTGCAAATGGCTATTCATAATACCTCAGACAGTTTCCCTATTCAACATCGTGCAACTTGACCATGTATTGACATTTGATAATGCCTGCTGAGAAGCGATAATGCCCGCTGCTTAAATCACACGCTGGCGCCTGGATATGAGACAGTTTAATCGATTCTAATTGGGTAATAGTCTGTGTGCATGTGGCTTGCCATGCTGAGCTGATTGGGCAATTTGCATAAGGAATGTTCAATAAAATGGACGGGGGTGTTTGGGAAAATGAAAGTAAAATTCTGGAACAAAATCGTTGGAAATGCATCATATAGTGACTTCTCTTGACTCTCTAACTAAAAACGTATTTATGAATGGGAATAAATTTATGCTTGGTCGGTCTTAAATGCACATTTAAGAATGAGCATGCACATATTTATTTCCTAAATCAAATACAACTACATCTGCCCCCACAGGTATCCATTTGTAACTACTCCTGCATGGAGAGACGTACATGTAAGCAGGGGTAAAGTGTCTTGCCTAAGACCAGGTGCACATAGGTCATAAAAGGAACCACATTGGAATTTGTTGGCAGATTTGCAATAACTCAGGTATTTGGAATCTACTCAAATGTTCCATTGTCCATCACAGTCCATGAAATCCAAGGCTTGATGGTGAAACCTATGAAAGCCATCAAGGTGCCATGTGCAGTTTGCATGATGGAATAAAGTCATCCTTACAAGCTGCATCCACAGCGCTCCTACATGCATGACATGTGCAAAACCCCTCTAAAGACGCCCATTGGTCTTTGGAGACGAGGGCATTATGGTTTAAAGGTAAGCAGCCCAAGGGCTGAGTGGGGTTGCAGTTTGTCAGCTTATGCATGATAATCACTGGTTCTGCTTACCTGGGTCTTCGTGTTCGTTAATTTCAAAGTCGCTGTCATTCTCACTGTCGCTGAGACCAAAATCTAGCTGTATCAGGTGGCGCTCAACGGGCTTGACGCGACGCTTCTTAGGATCTCGCTTATCTGCACATTCAAGAGGAACACTAAAATGAATTTGGCTCTGGGCCTTAAAAGGTTTACAGACACTGAAATAGCAATGACAATAGACGTCGCTGAACCCGTGATGCACACGTGTAGATGGGAAATGAAAATTTTGAAGCATTCTTTTGTTTGACAAATTATGAAGACTTGCCACAGGAAAAAAAGCCTTTGTAAAATTCTCTCACTTGCAGATACGTATACCTGGATGTTCTATATTTTAATTTTCATGGACAGACTGTTTAAATGTCTGCTTTCACTACAGAACATTACTAAACATGTTCCCTTACTAGCAAAGAGAGAAATTTACTGATATTCTCAGCATCTGCTTACTACACCCCTGTAAGTAATTTTCAATTGAAAGCTGCAAATATTATACTGTTACTCAATTGGCCAACCAATCAATATATTGAGTATTTGGTTACATTTTTGTTTGATTAATTGAAAACCATTTTGTGAGGATATAGACTTCTCTTTTCAGATGGTGAAAGAGAATGGCCCAAAGTATTCAAATCTTACACATTACTAACGTACATGTAGCTGTGCAGTATACTTAGGTTAGATTTCACAAAAAGTCGCTTAGCTGCACAGTGGTTTAATTATGTTAAATTTCTTGGACGAGGACGATTTAACATATTTTATGATGGCTGTTTCTTAGCAATATTACAGCAGTCATCAGACAGTTGTGGAATTACCTTCGGCTACCATTTTGTAGAAGTTTGTGTATTTTTCATTGGAAACAGACAAAATATGTGGAAGTTCTCTCACATCCAAACAAATGTTTATTACCTTCTAAATCAAAGTTTTCATTTTTCGTATAAGCTTGGTTAAGTTCAGCAATGATGAGCCTTGACCGAACATAGTCAAATCATTCATTTTCGCTTTGTTCGGTACAACTTACGCCACCTAAAATGATAAGTTATGCAATATTAATTGGGGGGTGCAGACTTACGCAGTGCATAAGTTTCATAAAATTGCTCTTCATTTGTTGCGCAACGTACGCAATAAAATGTGGCGTAAGTGATGTTATGCCGTTGTACCCCAAAACTGTGTGGTTCGTTGTTTGCCATGCTCCTACATTTGTGGGAATGCAGCGGACAACAAACCAAACAGTTCGTAGGAGCGGGCTTCATAGGACCCCTTAGTTCTGGGGGTAAGTCATGGGAAACCAGTGTGGCAGTAAGCCACAAAAAATTCCATTTCAGTATTTTTCACTATTTTCCCAAACCCACTCATCAACTCACAAATGGCTGCACTGACGACAAGAAAATGTATAAAATGAGCCCATTTTTTTAAAACAAAAAAGGTTCATGCATGCATTAATTGAAAAAGAAGTGCGCCCTCTACTGCCATCGTATTAAAAATTTTTGACCATTCATGCATCCTAAACCAACAGCCCGATGGCCCGTCTGTACAAGGAACTTACACATTGCTTCATACAAAAAGTCAACGTCCTCCCCACCTCCTCCTTTTTGTTCATTTTTTACCTCTTCGGCCATAATCAATCTTCCAGAAAAGAGAAATATCTGGTCAAGTAAAACTCAGCCAAGCCAGAAACCTAGCCAGAGGCCCCCTATACTTTTTTACTTTCCTAGTGGGTATATCCTCGTGAGTATAACGTGTAGTTTGAACAACCCTGGCGCAAAATTCCGGAAATTTTAAATATTTTCACATGAATTCACAATATTGTGTAATTTAATTTCGATTAAAGAATTTTTCAAAGTTGTAAAACTGCTATCATTTTAATCAGCACCGTGTACGGCTAACTTTTAAAAATTTCTTGATTAATTTAAATGAACCTAAAGGGTAATATCCTCTGTTGGGCACCAACTATGGTGTCTGTCCCAACTATAGTTCGGACGATTGCTACAGTTCGGTCAACCCGATACTTGTTGGCCATGCCAAAGAATGCGCGCCAACGTCATTTCGTTTTCTTGTTTCGCTACGGGTGAAATGCCACACTTTAGGTGAATTCTGTTGGCTGCGAGCCGCAAAAACTTGTTGGAGCCTGTTGAGAAATTTTCGAGCCAGCCCAATTGAGTAGCGCAGTTGCGACCGTCCCAATTGTAATTGGGTCTATGCTTTAGTTGGGCATGACATCGCCATTTAGGCCTTGAGTTTGAGTACAATTTTTGTGAAGGTTTGTCGGTCATTGATTTCGTCTTGTTTAGACGCCTAAGCAAAAGTCGCAACCATGATGCAGGGATTAACAATGAAGTCACTACGAAGTCACTATTCAGTAAGTGTTAACTGTTATGTTTAATAGTTCTTTGATCTTTCAAAATTTAGAGACATTTTTACTAAAATAAATGCTCTAGGCAGCTAGGCATGTTAGGGCCTAGGCTAGTCACTTCGCCCCATTTTCACGTCGCCTCTAACCGTACCACTTTGCCCCATTCCCACTTCGCCTCATCCCCACTTTGCCTGACCGTGCTCGAGTGTGTTATGACTTTTGCAAGCTTCTTCAAAAAGTGGTCGAGAGAGAGGAATTCCACAAACGACACTGAGTTATACATGACCATAGGAAACTGTAAATTAAGCCTCCTTCATTTGTCCTTTTGCTGTAACCGTAAAAAAACAGTCAAAAATTGCTTCCACTTGATTTCTCCTAGTACACGGACACATATGGGAAATTTGACCGGTTTTGACTGATAGGACAACTGTGTCAGGAGAACTTAAAACCAAAAAAAGAGGGTGTGGCTTTTGGATACAAAAGAGGGTGTCTTTGCTTCTACCTCTTTCTCAATCTCCTCTCTTCTTTTCTTCTTCAGTTGCCAGTCTATCTCTCTTTCCTTGACATCACCACCTCTTTTTCACAAGGCTCTTCTAGGCTGGGGTTTGAACCTCTTTCACTTCTTGATTTTCAACTCCTCAGTTTACACCGCTTTGCCAAGCAGGTTGTTGCAGGAAGAGGTCGATTTATTTTAGTTAACGTAAAAAGAAAAACCTGCTTATCTCTTAACCATAAACATATTCCTTTCTGGCCAATTTACTCATTTCCAAGCACAATGTCGGATCCTTAAATTAACAAGAAATCAACAAAGACAGCTCGCTTAGCCACCTACATGTACATGTATTTATGTGCACAATGGTAGATGCCCTCAAAGCTGTCAGTTTGCTCCCACTCCTGTATGCACAAGAGATGGATCTAACTGGTTGATTGCCACTACGTGGTGAACTCTTCCTCACTAATATCTACTATTAACAGACACGTCTTTCTATTTCTAAACTTATTGATATTTGTGATACTCAGAAATTGTCGTGGTCCAACAAGTTATTCTTCTCCCTTTTCTAGAAGGCATCTCCTGATGCAAGCACACCGGAGCACTACATGCATCTGACAAGAAGTCTCTTTAAAACAAATCTGTCTGTACATATACATTTACATGTACTTCAGAAACTCCTGACCATGAAATTATCACGCTGTGCACTGTGTGTGCACACTAGGTCAAACATACTTTCCATGGAGATCTGCAAAGCATGCCTTCCGTGTGTTCACCAGCCTTGTCTCATTCATTGCAGTTGATTCCACTGTTCATCTCAGTGGGAGCTGGATCTGTGTTTGCCGCTTACTATCTCGCCCGACTTGCTCTGAAGAACCCCGATGCGACGTAAGTGTATCAGCGTACTACTGTAATGTGACTTGGTTACAGGACAATGAAACTGTTATCCGGGATTGCTACAGGAACACTCCACCGTGAGAATATATAACTCAATGTAGAAATGACAGGTTGTGTGACAGGTACATGTACATGTACATCCAGCAACGCATGCATGTAACAACCTATAACTGTTACCAATGAAATATATGCCAAAGCCTGATATACATGTACCGTATCTCCCAAGAAGCTTCACATAGTCTTAAAAAAAAAAGAGTGTGCCAGAAACTTTTATTTGCACAGATTTTTGTATAGGTTGACATTTTTGGGACATAAAATCGGATGTACATGTAATAAAAAAAAGTTGTACCCGTATAAAGTGTCATCCAGTTTGCCCTGACATTGTAAGACTGTACCATAAGTGTAGTGGCAAGTTTGTTCTTGTTTTCCTACATCACTCAGAAATAATCAGCCATAAAACTGGAATATTTCTACTTATAGGTGGGACAAGAAGAATAACCCATACCCTTGGACAAGGATCAAGCCAAATGAGAACATCAAGGTAAAAACAGAACAATGAAAACACAAGTTCTAGGGTTTTTACTGTTTACCAACATTATTGGTGCTTACATCACCAAGGTACTGCCGATGAGTTTGGGGTTAAATGACTGACACTTTTGTTGTTCTCATGGCTGTTTATAACAGATGTCGCATGTTGCCGACCTGTTAATGTACGCATGTAATCAAGTATAGAATAAACATACCATCAAGCTGTTGTAACCTTTTCACAGACTCACCCATGCTTTTTGTAAAAGTGAACCTTGACAGTTTGAATATACTTGTAATAGCTTTGTATTATTTTTCCTTCAGTTCTATGCCCCAGGAGGTATAGACTTTGCCAAGCTGAAGTCAAACCGACCTGAACTCTAAGACATCTGGCCACCCACCCCTCGCGACTCAACGATATGAAAGAGCAATATTTCGATGAGCCTGCCAACGGGAGATGGCAGATGCCGTGAAAAAAAAATTTAAGGATTTGTACAAAGAAATAATTTGTTTGACTAATAATAATGAGCTCTTAAGAATGGTTTGTGTTAGAGAAGTTTAATTTTGGTTTTGATTTTCAGTTTTGTGCTGTAAAGTTTTACAGTTATACATTGTACAAGAACATCATCAAAATACAATGAAGTTAATTGGTATAATGCCCCCACATCCTCCAATATTTAACCTCAGGGCCAAAGTTCACAGAGCTGCGAAGTGCATATTGTGCTGGGCAAAGATTTGCATAGCGAAAGGTGGTGATGCTGGTGACCAGCCAAAATGTCATGCATTCTGTATACAGTATTTCCTGTGACGGGTTCCCAGCTGATGTTTGCTCTTCACATAAATTGGCTAGCTTCTGCTTAGCAGCTCTGTCAAATTAGGCCCTGATCACTTTGACTTAATCCAGTTGACAGAGGCCCGATGATAGGCTTTTTAAAGGAGAAAGAACACTTTATCAGCATTTATTGCAAGTGTTGGGGTTTAGATGGAAGCAAGATGTCTCCTAATGCATGTACTTCCTCAAACCTTCTGATACAGCATGCACAATCTGCAACCCACTGTAGAATGTGTTCTGAGAGTATTTCTCTGCTCGTAATGATCTGTGCTATTTACAAAGCAATATGGATTGTTCTTTGAATCTGACAAGGTGTTAGGATGGATATTTCAAAAGCATCAAAATGTGGAAATCACTCCACAAAAGATTAGTATTAGTCAACTTTCTTAGAAGCATATCCAGTTTAAATTTCACCCACAAAGATTTGCTGACAAAACACATTACCTGTGACAGAAAAGTGATAGACACAGATGTTACAATTTCCATATGAAGTATTTTAGGTTTATTTTTTATTTCAAAGTTGTTGTTTTTTTAATCCGAGCGCACAAACATTTCTCTACAGGGCTGAAGTCCTTCTGTGAAGATTATGCAGTCTTCCTCTCAACAGTATTCGCTTCACCCAGTTTTCCCGCGGAAGTATTTTTATAATATGCTGCAGAAAATTGTTCTCAGTATTTCAGAAAATTGCACAAATACGTGGATTCCATGTACCTGAGTCCTTCCCCCACAGGGTCAAATTAAACAGTGTAATTTAACGCACAAGCTTACATTGGATATCAAAGCAGAACTACACACTTTTTTTGAAAGGGATTTTTCTCTCCAGAACAAATGAACAACCTGACCCTTCTATGACCATCAAATCATAACTCCTGCATGCATGTTAATGACCCAAGTTCTTGAACTTAGTGCAGAGTGTACCGTAGACTTTGACACAGACTGATGTTGAAATAAATTTGAAGAGCCAGTCATTTTAGTTGTACATGTATTTGTATGTTTGCAGATCTTTTCTCGGTGTCAACTGAATATTGAATTCAGCGGATGATATTTACCAGTGTCATAGTCGAGACCATCACAGAGCCATGCACAAGACCATTCATGAGTTTTGTGTGAACAGTGACAAAGGAATGCTCGTGTTGCAGTTCATTTGAATAGCTTGTGACTTGAATTTAGACTGGAGGTCTTGTGTTGGTCCTGTGTAGTCCTGTGAGGGCCTAAAGTCGTCTACACTACAGCACTGATATTTACCTTCAGTGCCACAACTGCTTAAAGTTCTGCGCCTCGGTTGTCTGTATATCAACCTGTGCAGATGGATCCATAGGGCTTACTACATTACTGGGGCACCAATAGACCTAAAACATGTTTACATGTGCACTTTCCTATGGGGACTTGATTGATGGCATTCCACCTCAGAGTCATAGGAAAGTGCACATGTAAACAAAGCGTGACATCATGTTACAGGTCTATTCACTGGAGGGAGTGCAAATTCAAAAATTGACTCTGGAGAGGTTTGATAACTTTATCATGAAACAAACTTGCACAAGGCTAGGGGTGATCTATGTCAATCTACATGTATGTCAGATACAAAAAATGCATAGACCTCTGTCATGGGGCGGCCATCTTGCTTTTCAACCGAACCAATGCAGCCAAGCTGAGTTTTGAAGGGAGAATAGTCTGTTGTCTTTTTATCAACATGTGAAGTTGTATTATTATTGCCAGTGGGTCTACAGGAACAAGATAAACATGGCAGCATCCTGATAAAAGTCTATTGCAGAGATAAGGGAGAAAATGTGCAGGGATTCCATCCGCCCCCTCCCCGGCTCTTAGGGTTAATAAGATATCACTGCCGTGATTAACGGGTTGACAAATCTGTGTCCAGTCTTGCAAGTTTTCATGAAGCATTTGAGGTATTTGTGTCTACACTGGTAGGGCCAGACACTGCAGATCTTCCTGATGTTTTGAGACCTGACATGCGAACTTCATACACCACACTTTTAGTGTTATGAACAATTTGTATGAGTTACGGACTTAATTTATCAATTACGACACAAACACAGCTTTCTTTGCCTCACATTTTAATACTTAACTTTCCACAGGCTTAACTTGCTCCTTTATTCAATCTTTAATCTGAGAAAATAGCACACATTTCAATCACAAACCTCAAACTTTGCATGTACATCATCGGAGTCAGCCTCGACCTACGCAAGGAAGTTCTTTGACTTAAGGTGGCCCGTGTATGATTATCAGTAGAGTCTTTTACCATGTGATGGCTGAACAATCTCATTCTCCAGACCTCCACTTTATATCCATCTGCAGCTCCTGCTTCATCTCAAATTCCAGACTCATTCAAGAGCAGGTAAACTTCAAATCAAAATGAAATGTATGCAACTTTTAGTCGCCCTCACCACTTCAGTGTTCCTGCTGAGCGCCAGACTAGAAATAATGAAATTGAACTACAAAGCCAGGTTGCAAATTGTGTAATTAACATATGCATATTAATAATAAGGCCATTATGTTAAAGTTGGCCAGAATTACATTCTTGTAATAAACTGTGGGGACCTAGGGCCAATCTCATCATTGAGTTACACAAAGTCTTGATACAAATTTTATTTGCTACTGGCAACAGTAGAAACGGGTCACAATTGAGTCCAATGTCATATGATCTATGCTGCCAGGGACAAGAATTCCCCAATTTTTCCCCATCTGCTTGGCCCTTTGACCTGTCATGAGAAGCACAAATCATAAAATTTTACTAATAATCTTTTTTTCTTTGCAAAATCATGTCTATTAGCTTCTCCGTAAGATGCAGTTCCAAAGTCAGGCAGACTGTTAATTTGAGGTTGTGCATCGAAGTTTAACAGTTTTCAGGTTTGCCTCTAGACCATTCAAGAGTCATACCTTACATGTTTCTTTACAGAAGCTTTTATCAATGAGGTTATAAAACATCAAGTTAACCATTGATGTTATCATCATTAAATACAGCTACTCATGCACCAGGGAGCAATTTCAAAGACCAGCCGAACATAGGAATTTAACTAAGAAAGGAAAGTATTTGCTAAGTAATATGGTGGTTACTGGTCAAACTGCCATGAATTCAGTGCTTCTTTTGCCTGGTTTCCACTGATTTTTACTTAAAACATAAATTTTCCTGCTCAGCGGCAACCTTTGCATAGTCAAAACAACCACACACACTGCATTCTCCTGACGACAGACAGGGCACGGTGTATGAAACATTGAGTGTAGCAGTTCTATTCAAACTCTACTAACTCAGAAAAGAGATACACGGTGCTACCACAAAATTTCATCTCATTACTGCGTCCACCATGAAAACCTTCAACTTTGAGCAGAAACACCATTCTATAGATGAGAAACTTTGCTCACTACTTAGGGCAACTACAGCTTCATAAAAAAAAAAGAGAGTAAACATGTGAACGCCTTTCATAAATAATCCATGTAAACCAACTAATACACAATACAATAGTTTGTACCTTTACTGTTTTGGTTCAGCTTGTGATCTTTACAATATTTTGCTAGTGTCCAATGACATTAATGACCACTACGCATTCTTGGTATGCGTCTGTACTGCTTTTGTGCAATAATTTGCCTTAAACGTCCGACACAAAACATTAATTCAATTTCTCAAGAAGATGTACTGCACAGCCAGTTACCTGAAATTCACAACATCCATTTTTAGCATTGTGATCACATTCATACAACTTTGAATATACGCAAAGGCAGTAAACAAGATTTTATCACTGTGGGAAAGGATTTCTCGGGGTAAACACGGATTCAAGAATATTACTTCATGAATCATTTCTAATGTTGATGCCGTTGTCACTCTAAAGGGATTGAATGTTAAATATTCAAAAGGAGCAATTTGTGCACAAATCTGGGCACACAATACCTGGGCCTTCCTCGAACAAATTGCTGAAATACTGTGACAAATATTATCTACAAGTAGATTCACCAACACATTTACACAGCAATACACAAAAAACCTGACACTTCCTGATGCCAGTACTACTGTAATCTTTTCTTTTGTATATGTCCAGAATACACTAAAATGTTATGTGAGGCTGTTAAATTGCAGAAATGAAGCTGAAATTTCACGGTTGAGTTGAATACTCTGAAGAAGCCAACAAAGCATGCGCTGGGCTAAACAGCCTGAAATACATGCAAGAACAGAACAAATATTCAAGTGTTTGCAAAGAGTACTGCATCTTCAATGCATGCCAAAGTCCTTTTTCACAAACGCATGGACATTTTCAGCAGAAAAGTTCGTCCCAGAGCTCCCACTCCTACCAACAGAGGTTCTGACATTAGAAACTATATGATACAAACCTCTGACTTCCATAATACTTTTGGGACCCATCTTACTCATGCACAACTTAGTTTCTTTCACAACTTAATGTCTTTCACAACTTAATTTCTGTAATCTGCATGTTCATTTACAATACTTCGGATTATCACTTTGTGTATAATTTGTTAATGTCCCCTTGATCTCTGTACTTTAAGCACATTATCAAGGTGGACTTAGCGCATTATAAATATTCTGTATTATTAGTATTTTTGTTTGTGTTTTTTCAACTAGGAAAAGAACTTCCCTACTCCTCGATAGACTCAGATATGTGCTAGGTTAGTATAAATTTTAGTCATTTTAGTCACATTGAGAGCACAGTGTCAAGAAGCAGGGGGTGAATTCTTCTCCACACCAAATTTCATTCCAAGAACAGCAAGCAACACTGTGCTAGGATTTTTTTCAATTATTTTAAACATATAGTTTTAAAAGTATCTTTTGGGCATAAAAAACAAGGAAAACAGAGAAATAGTTTTCTGATTTTTCTTTTTAACTTTGAAGATAAACATCTGCTTATTCCATACGTGCATTTCAGTTTTTTTCACCTAAATCCTGTCATATCTTGTTTCCAAAGAGTGAATGCGGTATGCATTGCTGCTTACTAGCTCCAAACTTGATTTTTACTTCCCTAATCAATTAAAAAAAGGTCAAGTGGCCTGCCGTATGACTTCACTCTCCAATTTCTTTGAAAATAAAAACACAGGATGTTGCTTCTCTATTAAAAACTCAGGAGACAAAAGGGGAATATGATTTTGACAACATGTAACCCAAAACAGTTTCCAAAGTAAGAAACGATAAAGAGGTTAGATTCATGACATTCCAAGCTACAGTTTGAACAGTGGCTGCCCCTTAGTGTCCACCCCACTTCCAATTTTGTCAAAACATTTAGCAGGGTCTTACACTAAAGTGAAAATTGCATCCCCCTGTGAATTTGCCATTTTGAACAGAAAATTGTTTCCCGAGTGACCCCATCAGGGCAGACACACCGTCCTTGCCATAGCCTTATTATGCGTACAAAACTCGCATGGTGTTAGTGAAGCCTGCCCCAGAGCGCCAGCCGGTCACCACGATGACCGGTGACCCTTCCTTGAAGAAGCCTCGGTGGAGGCCTGTGTCGATGCCAAACTTGACTCGCCGGTCGATGTCATCCTGCCAGTTCTCCAGCTCGCGCTCTCTGAAGAGGCTGGGGAAGCAGCCCCTGTACAGGTGCATCTTGCGAGCCACTCTGGGGTCGCGGGTGACTGAAATGATGGGTACCAGCGGGCGGAATCGGGACACCAAGTGCGCGGATCTGAAAATGCCATTAAAACAAAACAGGCAATCACAACAGTAGAGAAAGCGGGAAAACTGTTATATGAGGGTGTAGCCTGTAGCCTTGAACACTTGGAGAGGTCAACTCAGAATATGTTGCCCAGGATACTTGTGAACATGCACTAAGATCTTCTGTCATGCAGCAGGTGGGGAACACTGTATCCCCAGCAGAGGAACAGCCTGTTCTACCTGGGAACATATTGGAATGTTGGTTGCTTCCAAGCAGCACACACAGAGCATTCAGTGCATTCCACTTGAGACACCTGAGTTCCCACTAGAACACATTGATATCAGGCTCAATTGACAGCAGTCTTTTACAGGTTGATTCAATCTCAGCCAGCACTATTGATACTAATAATAATTAATAATAATTTATTCATTTATAAAGCGCAAGGTTCATATAGATACTGTATGTGCAAATACGCTGTACAACGGAGACATTAAGCATGGAACAATGAATACATTTAAACGTGGTTGAGCCGATGGCATACAAGGGCGCCTCAGGCAGCTGCTAAACGACCCACATTTACCAACATCAGTAAAGTGGAGACAATAAGAAGCAGTTACAGTTTTAGAGGTGGGAGGAAAACCCCAGAGGAATATTCTGGGTAAAACCCACAGAGTCAGGCAGGGACTGAAAATCCAATCCACATCTGGACCAAGCCGGGAATCGAACCCAGGACCAAAGAGGTGGAAGGCGAGGAAAGAACTAGCTTGCCAACTCGACTCTCAAGTTGAAATATACCAGTCCAGGTACAAAGCAGGGCATTTTGTGGCAATAAATAGGCTTTTCATGGTTTGCTGGGAGCACATCCTGCCAGTGGTGCAAGTTAAGTGAAAGGTTTTCACTTGAACTGCCAGGGTTTCTAATGTTAATTTCCAGGTACCCAGTCCAAGTGTCATCTGCCGCTCAAGAGAGCCTCCGGCTTCGGAACATGTAATGCATGTAAACATGCAAATTACTTGCAACCCACGCCAACAAGACTTGATTTCAAAACTGTGACATATTTGGAGCAGATGGGTTGATGGGCATTAGCTGATCAGGTTTAGGCAGCAACATGCCAGGCATGTCCGTGTTTTTGACCTGGAAGTGTGTTCTTCTCTAATTTGTATGGCAAATACACAAATAGGAACTATATGTAACTTCAGCCCAACCTCATGTATTGCAGGAATCACATGAATAACCAGTCATGATAGGATATGTGCTTGGGGAGAGGGATGTACATCTGCAATGTGTGTGCTATGTCTTCCTTAAAATCTTTAATCAGCATAATGTGCACAGATCTCAGATCACAGATCTCAGCTTGTCTGCAAGCGAGCGTCTACTACGTGGACTCATACACTAACAGTTACCTTCCTGTCTTGGACAAGACAATGATGGCCCCTGCCAGACATTTGTATGATGCCTCCACGGCAGCGATGGCAACGGTCATGGCGGCACCCGTGGGCATCTCGGCAGAACGCACAAGGTCATCAAATATCATGCGATGGAACGCAGCTGACTCTGCTTCGCGAGAGATCTTCACACACAAAAACATGCACAAATCACATGAAAGGAAGCAACCAATGAAGGGTGCATAACCGCTTTGTGCTGACAAGCATGGCCAATGATTGGCAAAACTGTCACTGAAAAGTACTCTGTTAACCTTACCCCACAAGGCTTTTGTATTAGAAACAGTGCTGAACCTTGCAAAGTTGATCAGATACAACTTGTGTCCTTAAGGGGGGTCACTGTAATTACTGGCATGTGACTGAACAGAGTCTCTCTAACTTCAACAGGTCAACAGTGTTGAACTTGAGTCATCTGGTGTGGATACATTAGGTCTCAAACCTTGGCAAAACATAGTTGGCGCTTCAGGGACTTGATGTAGTTAGGGTTAACATAAAGCCTGTTTTTCCAGCGATCATCGCAGTTAACAGATTCAACCCCAAAACTGACCCCCCTCCCACAGTACCATCCAGCCCCCTCCCACATGGTGAAAACCCTGCTACCTTGCTGCGTACAGAGTCCAAATACTCACCTTGTGCATCATTGCACATGCCTCCACCGGGTAGGCCCCCTTGGCGGTTTCCCCAGATAACATGACACAGTCAGCCCCGTCCAGCACGGCATTGGCCACATCACTGGTCTCAGCTCGGGTTGGCCGAGGGTTCTTCACCATGCTCTCTAACATCTACACGGCCCACACAGAAGAGAAGAAAAAAGTAAGAAAACGGATCAGCTCAAAACACGAGTTGGTGCATCTGGTGCCTTCCGATTATTCACATTCCCTGGTCTCCCAGGTCCCCATTAAGTCCTTGCCCAAATCAGCTGGCTAAGTTCAGCAGTAACACACTCAACTATGCGAAGTACCGGTAGCTACAACGGCTTCCATAGCCACACATTCATTTCTAGCTAAAGACAAAACCTTTGAAAACAAACAAATACATCTAACCTCAGAGACCACCCTGTTGAACCAATTGAAGTTTGTGAACCACACAAGCAAAATGAAACATCAGAACTATTGAGGGCCAAGGAACTTGGTGCTGTAACAGTCAATTATGGCACTCTGTGGTCAAAAGAAGCCAGTGGGTGGCACACGCTATTTGCCTGCACTGGTTTGTGGACAACTGTTGTGCAGTAAGACTGACCGGTTATTGTCAGAATGCCCATAAATTCCTATTTTCTGCTCCTGGGCTACTTAGTGGCAACAGCCATACATGTTTATCAAACCTCTCCCTTTATCAACGTTCAGGACTTTACTCAGATGAAGCATTTTCCAAACATTTATGTGGTAACAAGTTACGGAATCCATAACTTAATAACACTGTGCAATAAGCATTGCTAATCTATACAAGGTAAGGTTTTGAATTCAACCAGACATTTAAGGTACCATCATAGCTCACTGGTATGCACACTACTCGGCAAGCACACACGGACCCTTTTAAAGCTAAGTGATGATAGCCAATTTTTTTGTTCTGGCTTTTCCTTTTTTTCAATCAAACCCCACGTCTTTTTTTCACAGATATTTTTCATTTCTGTTTTTTTTGAGGGGAAGTAGATTCACATCCCTGGAGGATTTTTAAAAGGGAAATGAAGTCCAAGATACCTTTGTTACAGGCTGGTCTGGGTCCTGTTTCTAAAGCTGCAAATTGGCGCAATAGAAGAGGAAATCAACCAGGCTAAAGTGCACTAACTACAGCCACTGCGTAAATGTAACATCTGCTGCTTGCTCTACTACGCCTAATGCACAAGATGTATACCTGGGTTGCACAAATGACCGGCTTGCCCACTTGGCTGCAGCGGCTGATCATCATCTTCTGTGCAAGGAAGACCTTCTCTGGAGGGATTTCAATGCCCAGGTCGCCTCTGGCCACCATGATGCCATCGCTGGCCTCAAGGATCTCATCAAATCTATGACAGGTGTGTCAAAATGTAATTATTAGGCCGAGGATGCCATAACAATGCCCAGGGCCAATTAGCCCTAATGGCCAGGTGCTTTTCGTGGTAGGTCATTCACAAAGTCAGAGGGGATGGATTTCATACTACCACTCCCTTTCAGTTTAATGCGTATCAATCACACTGGCAACAGTGTCATTCTGTGCTAGGGGATATGTCACCAAATGCATTGGATGAAAAAACGTATGCCAATTTCCATTTTAAGAAATAGTGATTCTCTGTTGAGATACATCCAACTCTTTGTAAAAACTGGCGCCAAAATGATTGCAGAACATTGGCAGAACACCCACCCAGCTTGGCTGGGTGACAAACTGAGAAAGTAAATGGACAACAATTATATAACTGAAAAAAAGTAAGGATTCACTCCCCCCTTCACCAGCCCTTTTAAGGTTTGACAGCTGACATATACAGTATGTCTCAGAAAAATGGACAAACCAAAGGGGAAGGGGCTCGAGGCAAGGGAGCTGGGTATTTTTCACACCTGTGTAGTCCTTCGTGGTTCTCAATTTTGCTGACGATGGCAATGTTTTTGCCCTTCTCGCCGAGTACACTGCGTACCTCTGCAACGTCAGCTGCCTTGCGGATGAACGATGCAAAGACAATGTCCACCTGGAACAATGTATATATATGGCCATTTCACAATACTGTGCTGCACCGAAGTGGATGGTATCGTCAGGCATGTTCCACAACAACAAATAAAGCAGTTTTAAAAACAAGAACAAAAATACCCAAATTTCCTTGAAAAAGAGACCACATGCAGTAAAATACACCAACGGCTACATCCATACGTACTTGTTCCATAGCTGAGAAGAATACTATGGGGACAGAATCTTTACATACTCCACAATCTGGTCAAGAATTTCCTGAAAAGGCTGGTTGTCTTCTAGTGAGAACTATATAAGGGATGTTTGGAGGCATTCTGATGATTGCAAGAAACACTTAAAATACAGCAGACCTAAGGAAACAGTACAACAACGATCTCCCTTCAGCATCTCCTTGGACATTTCACAGACAAATTGGAAGCCTTTCTCACCCCTTGCTCCACACCGAATTTCAGGTCAGCCCTGTCTTTCTCCGAGACTGCCGGGAGGTCGACAATAGCTTCAGGAAGGTTCACGCCCTTCTTTGACCCCAGCATGCCTCCGTTCAAAATGATGCAGTCAATGTAATTATCCCCTGCACCAAATAACAAACAAATATATTTAAATACTCATGAACATTAGTATTTATATAATACTCTGACCATTATAAATAAATGCACCTTTGACATTATCATTTTTCTGGAAAATAAATTTAACTCCTAATCTGTTCCAGAGTCAGCGAGATCATTTTCAAAATTTACATTTAATATGGATGCAAAGTCCTACTTTTAGCACATTTCCATGTACCCGGTATATCTGCAGGGTCATTATTTTCTTACTGCCTCACAAGCCCCTCAGTCTTTACCTTTAAGTTTATGATATATACATAAAACCAATTCATCCTTGCTCTTTTTGTCAGGCTACCAGTTCCATTACACCCTAACCCCCAAGGGTGTATGGAAAATCATATTGAAATGGGAGGATTGGGGACTGTAGGGGTAGCCATCTCAAAAGATTGTACACCCTAGAGTCCATCATCTCCCTAATATACCATCAATGTGCCACTTTTACTAACATCACCAATAATCTCATGTCCATCATGTTCATAAAATCAATTCATTTCCTCGCTCTAGATTTTTTACAAAATCTAATCCTTTAGGTTAGCACAGACTGTATACTGACTGGATAGCACATGCCCATACCATCATATGAAGAAATTTGGCCTTTGTACCTTGATTTTTTGGACCTCCAAAGGTGGCTACAACCAAATTCAAGGCAATTTACCCTGTTTTAAGAAGTACCAAGGAGTACTGAGCGATAACTAAATAAGGTGATGCAGATATAGCAAATTTGTATTAAAATATCCCAGATACAAAAGAGATAACTGATTCCTCAAATGTGAACAGTTTTTCTCCAACACCCCTGCAATTTTGCTGGGAATGTTTCTGAATCCTCTCAAATCCACCTATTGGAAGAAACCCAGTGATACATTTTCCCTAACTTTAAAATTGCTCACAGCATCATGACAAAGTCCACATTAACCAGTCTCTAACTGAAATTTTGCAAAACTCTCCAAACCTCCTGGTGCATTTGAAACAAATCGTCAAGAAAAGTTAACACAGTACAACAAATCAGGTGCAAGGATTGCAAGGTGCAATGCCATATACAGCATCAATGCAGAGGATTACAGGAAGGACTGGCTCACCGATTTCTTCCACCTGAAGGGAGATCAGCCCGTCGTCAATGTATATGGTTCCGTCTAGTTCCAGCACGTTCTTCATGTTGGCATAGTCAGCAAAAATGCGCTCCTTGTTCCCATTGTTGGCGTGAGCTGGATCCAAGGAAACACGGATCTTCTCTCCTTGGACCAGCTTGATCTCGGCACTCCCTCCCTGCATTGATACCAGATCAGACTAAGTTGTAATCAACATCGGGTGTATTTGTCATTGAAATGCCTCTGATTTTGGCCGTCACTTTCTACAAGTTGAAGAAAACCTAGTTTTGATTGATTTTTATCAGCCCCACATACATGTACAAGATTAATCTTGCTTTCCCAAGTTGGGTCGTATGTAAGTCTGTGTCAGGCCATTTAAGTGTGCATATATCCAATGGACGCTGTAGAAACTGGATTTGTACTGAGGCAAGGGGTGGGAAGGGTCTTAACAAATTTTCAGCAAGAGTAATCCACATCTAGCCTTTAGCCAAATGACATTTCTGCCATGTCACTCAGGTTAACCTGAAGAACACTTACAAAAGCTGGACTTGGACTATGATGCGTGTACATGTAAGATCCCACATCATGGGGGGGGGGTGAATGGGAAAAGAGTGAAAGAATGGAACACAAATGTTCAAGTGAGAATAAAGTACAGGTGGACTGAAACTGACTTGCCATGATTCAATTGTCAATTTGTGCCGTATTAATCAAGCTTATCCCAAGGCACAGTGGCTGAAAAACCTGAAAGTGACTATCGCAGGTTGTGTTTAGAGAATCTCTTTTTGAGGGAGAGTGAGGAGAAGGAATATGAACTTTTAGAAAGATCTGCCCTCTTTTATTCATATGTACTTAGAAGACACTTGGAAGCACATTAGTTCATCTTACCCCTTCCAGCAAACCAGTACGAATCTCAGGCCCTTTAGTGTCCAGAGCGATGCCAATGTTGCGGCTAAACTTGAACCGTTTTTCTGCCTCACGTACATTTTGAATGGTCTGGGCATGAAACTGGAAAGAAAGGGGGGTGGGAATCAATGATCACCTTGTCTTGTAAAACTCATCGCAAAGTTTTATTGGACAATTCACACTGAAGCCAATGGCAAATTTTGGTATTCCTCAATAAATCAACAACAATATACCGGTAACTTACTGAAATGCATTCAAGCAGGTACATGCAGTTGTACAAGTAAAAGGTATGCTCATCAGTAGAAACAAAGTACATGCATCATGAGTTTGAATGTTATTCTAAAACTTTGTCAGTTTCTGGACAGGTTTTAATTATAAAATCCCTTTAGAAATTTTGCATCATTAGTTGAATTTTACAGATATTTTCCATTTGTATCTGATCCAATTTAGATTTCGGGATAATCCCCCAAAGTTAATGCCGTTCCATAGAATATTTCTGGTCTGCAAAGATGACTGCGTCCATCAAAATATCACATCAACGATCATAGTCAAATATATACAGCGTACCTCGTGTGTTCCATGAGAGAAATTCATCCGTGCGATGTTCATCCCAGCCTGCATCATTCTCTCCAAGGTGTCTACATCTCTGGATGCAGGCCCTGTTCATAACAAGAACAGAACAAAGGTACATGTATGACAGCAGATGGCATTTACAGGCAGATGTACGCGTACATGCACTGTACGTGCACATGCAAGACTTTGCCTAGAAAAGTTCAAGAAGCCACCCGAATCCAACCTTTATGGAGTCCACGAACATTATCGCACTGTCCCAATACCAGCATCGTAGTCAAGTTCATCTAAAGTACACCATGAGCCCCTCAGCTTCACACAAAGTCAGAATCTCCCAGTATTCAAAGGAGCTGAGGCAAAAGCATGCCTTTGCCATTTTCACACCATTATTTATGACAGGTATTGCGAAAGGACTTAATGACTGGATTTGTGAAGGGACTTGCTTAGTCTAGCTTGATTTATACGGTTTCGTTAATGCTGGTGGTACAGTACAAAAATTCAGCTACGGAAGCCACCAGCCACATGTAGCGGCTCACAACTCACTTTCCACAGACGTGTATTTTGGTAGTAAAACGAAAGAACAATGTAACTCAGACATGGCTTTATATCCTGATAGAGCACAGAAACATGCCCAAAACAACATGAACAATGGCTTCAGATCCATTCTTCCATTTGAGAGATCAATCTTTCGTAGACACTGTCCTAGAATGTACAAAAGTAGGTTTAAGCTGTGTACGAGCCTTAAAAATAAACAAACACCATGAAAAACAGGAAGCATACGTGAAAACTGCCTTATGCCCTAATGTGAAGGATTTACATGACTGCACAATCGGAGGAGTGGAATTCGCCCCGCTTTGCTCGATCAACTTCACCCCCATCTGGGGGAAAGTGGGTCAACGCACGGTGCCCCCTCACCTATAGTGCAAACGATTCCTGTGTTGCGCACATTGCCCGGGCGGCTGTCAATGTGGAGCTTGCTCTGGTGGTCCAGGAAGGAGTTGGCAGTCACCACTTTGTACTGGGTGGCCTGGAAGTAATGCTCGCTCTGCATGCCCTCCAGGGCTCCCTCGCTGGCGTGGGTCATTCGCTGCATCTTTCCACCTGCTAGCATCACAGAGAAGAGTCACGCGATATTTATCCATCTTCCCCTTTTATTCCTCAAAATAAACTTACCAAATAGAACATCAAAACAAAAAAGTAAGAATTGGGCCTTCTTGTGCCTGTTGACTTTTGTTCAAAGACAGACATATTCTTTAAACTTTAGAAATAAGTTACTTGCATTGTTATCAGAGATTGCTTCCTACCAGCATACTCAGATTACTGAGCTCTGATAAGTGACTCTTTAAATTACGTACTAGTTTATGGCAAAATGTCGCTGACAGTACAGGCATCATGAACAAATAGACAACAATAAAAGACCTGAAGATAAACATGACACACCAACAATGTTTGTAATGTGGAGACAGCAAATACTTGAATGCGGGATATGGGGGTCAAATTCCTCTGAATATGCCTAAAGCATGGAATTGTTGGCATCAATCAAGATGGTGGGAACAGATAAGAAGAGTGGGGATATTTATTCCCTCACTCTTTGACCAGGGATGTGTCCCCTAAAATTGTTTCCCTATCCCCATCCTGGTACTGACTACCTTTTGTGCTTAAAGTTACAGGAGAAAATGTGAACAGTGCTTGATACTGTAAATGGTCGCCGATGAAGCTTGGCCCCAAACCAATCCTAAGCTTTGATTTTGTTTCACTGTCATCAAGACTACCAGCCCTAGTAAAATGGCTTCACAGCTCTCTAAATATGAAAATAATCGGCAGCATGCTCATGCGTCTACATACATGTAAATCACCTACCTGAATGCATAGGAACTCTCCTTCTTTTCAATCTTTGTTTTGTAACAAACATATTAAACTACACCATGATTTTAAGGTATATGTATAGACATACTGTACAGACACATCAACAGACCGATTACGCCCGCTAGGTCACATGACCTATAAAAGGTATAAAATTTTAACAAACATATGGTAGTGCCCTTCCATAGCAAAGTGTGTCATAAATGTCATTTACCAAAATAAAAGCTGATGGTCGGTCGAAGTACTCCGACTACTGATGTGCTTAGCACTATATCAAAAATCTGCATTATTTTCTTATAGTAAGCAGTAATAGCTGTAAAACTCCCATGAAAATCTGAAGATTGGAAGTTTCATTGTTTTAGGGTTATGAAGTTACCTACTTCAGCTTGGTTTTGGGATGGTGGGTCACATGTCTTACTAATACAATGTACATGTAGCAGGCACAATCGGTCTATTTAGTCAATCAGTTCACAGCGATGCAAACTAGTATCGGCATGATCAGAGATAACCTCCACTCCCATACCTGAGTCACTTCAATCCCCTAAGCACTTTGTCCCAGTGTCACATTGCTCATTACCACCCATCTCAATGGCCCAATGTCACTTTAACCACTGTCACTTTGCCCCCCTGTACCCTGGGTCCTGCCACCACTTTGCCCATCACTACTTTGCCGGCATGTGGCCCCTCCTGAATGTCACCTCATCACTACAGTCAGTCCGTGTTACTCTGTGTCAAAGTGCCATCTTCACGTCACCCCACTCAGCCACTGTTATATGTAGTTGGCTTCTGCTTCTACTGAGCACCACTGTCACTTTGCCATATTACAGAAGAATACCACTTTGCCATTGTGTTACATCACTCTCTCGTCACTTGTCCCCACTTGAACTTTTTCCAATTGTTACTAGGTCATTCTATAAATTTGGGGTCCATTTTTACATCTGGTCCAGGATTTTTAGAAGTTTAGAACTAATTCTTTAATCGGTAATCTTTGCACAAGTGGAGCAAATTACCTGCTAAAACAAATACATGTAGAAATAGCTTGAAATCAATGTCAATGATATATCCCCATGTCAATTTACACAAGTCAAATGTAACAGAGAAAATCTCACACACTGGACCCCAAATTTACAGAATGACCCTACTTGGCTACACTGTCACTTCACCCTTTCGACAAGTTATCTAACAGCAAATTCTTATTATACCAGTCATGCCAGTAGCTTGGTCCCATTGAGCCAGTTCATTTTTCCAACAGCCCATGCTCAAATGAAGCACACTGTAGGTCATTTGACCGACAGTGATACACGTGCATCTGTGTGGCCGTGTATCAGATTTAGCCTATTTGATGTACGGTGGGCATAATAGATGGGTTGGGTTTATTTGGTTTGGGTAAAACAGTTTGTTTTTACTCCAGATTTGTCCACTTTAAATGGTGCCCTCCTATTGTGTTCACCAACTTCAAAACGGCTAATGGTGAAACATGGACTCGTAATGCACTCGAAATGCATGAAATGCCTGAGCTGGTGTGATGTCAGCATTGGTGGATTGAAGGATGGGGAGGTGGCAAAATGGAGTCCAGGTCCCCGCCCCCATTTTTTAAACATGAAAATGGGTTATTTTGTGGACATTTTAACTTCCTTTCCTTCAAAAAGCCAAAAATTTCAGCCTCATCCCTCAGAGAGGCCATAAATGAAAAGGTAAATGACATTTCCATATTTCCAACCCCGAGATACACGTACATGTAATTTGGTCCTGGATCCATCTTTGGACATAAAGTGCTTCGTTTTCATATGACCTTTTTGAAATACCAAGTGGCCCATTGACATCCTGGAAATTATCCCATCAATCCTTTTACCCCACTGGCACTTCATTCCATTGTCAAATATCAATTTCCCACTGCTTGCTTCAAATGTCCCTCCCCCCCAAAAATGAAAAAAGTGGAACTGCAGAATCGTTATTTAATTTTGACGCCATTGGTGACTTTCCCTGTTCTTACAGTGCAGTACCGTATTGGACAATGCAGGCACTCTGTACACACACCGTTGCCAGCGGCCGCAATCCAGGCCAGTCGCTCCTGGCGCACAGCCTCGGTCTCTTCCCTTGTCAGAATTTCACTGCTCATGGCTGACACTACTTCTAACTTAACAGTTTGGCAATCTGGAAAGGGCATTTGAAAATAATTTCTTTCAACCTGATCCTTTTCGCAGAGTGAGACAATGAAAAATCTATTATCTTCACACTTGGGTGATTGCACTGTAGTTAACATTTATTTGGAAATGTTTGTCAACCTGGCAATTACTGCATACATGTACGTTACATGTTTATTTATATTTCAATAAATTTATTTCAATGTCGTCTGTAAACCGAAGTATTTTAGGATTAGAAAACCGATGCTTCATTCATATGGGTGAAAAAAAAAACATCTTTGAACTACACGTGTAGGGTGCAAAGGATAAGATTAGAATGTTTGATGATGTTGTATCTAAAAATTTTCGAAAGTGACTTATCAACGTACAATGTACTGTACCTACATGTACATGTATGTATGAACATCCATTTTGTAAAACATTTTAGTTTCTTTGTCTGTCTATATACATGTACATGTACATGTATGAGGGGGAACCCCATCTATACAATTCCAAAAGGAAAATTTCAAGTAGTAACATTAATCAGATCAAGAAGAAAAGAATGTAACTGTGTATACATGTACACGCTACATGAACGTACGCATCTGAACCATTCATTTAACGTTAAAAAAGAAGCCACACTGAAAACTGACTCCTGCAGTGGTTGACATGTATCCAAAACACATGTATGGTTGTGGATGTCTATGTACTCGCATGACTGTGACAGAGTTGAAATGGAACAACCTTGAAATGTGGGCAAAGTGACGATGACACAAAGTGACACTGGCATAAAGTAAACTGAGACCTTGACTGCAGAACAAAAACTCAAGCAAGCTTAATGTTTTACTCACCAAATCCAAGACTAAATTAAATAACTTACCAACATTTAACCACAGTTGTGGAGACTACAATGTAAAGCAACACTAACATTGTTGTCGCCATGTCGCCATTTTTATCACTTTCATGACTTCACATTAAGGAACAAAATAAAGTTGTCTAGTAACACGCAAAAGAACTGTTGTTCCAATTACATGAACATAATTTCTGATATTATGCTTTACTATAAAGTACCGGTAATTCAAGAAATTATATTAAATATTAAAAGTTTTTCTCGTAATAATATCAACATACATGTATGCACATGTGCCTAGCAGACACAACAAAAAATGCAAACATCTACGTGTATATTTTAAGAGATTTCCAATCACCAAAAATAAAAAGGCTGCTGGAAACTATCAAATACATGTACATGTACATGTAATAACCTATGGTAACCTACATGTGCACATGTAGTTCATGAATGTCACTTCAATCATTATGCAGGACCTGACATTTCAACTGCAGCAAGATCTTTCCTAAAGGCGAAAAGATTCCACTCTGCCAGGATTAAAATGTCAGGCCTTCTGACAATGAAAATTTAGAATCATTGGGAATGATGCTATCATACTTTTTATGAAGGAAAACTTCTCTCACTGCCATGACCTTTGGCTTTGGCAGATAAAATCAAAGAAGAAAATCTAATCTTATCTAATATTAGTACGGGTACCAATTTACCATGAGTATGAATTTAAACAGGGAAGGCAGTCAGGGTCTTGTCCAGAGCATGAAAATAAGGCCAGAAAAGGCTGAATATATGTATAATGATAATAATAAAAAATACTTATAAAATACCGGTACAGTGCCAAATGTGCGAAAATAAATCAAAGTGCCAAATCAAAACACAATGTTCCATGGCTCTTTACGACTTTAAGAACAGAAGTAGTTATAGCAAAGCACTTACAAAAAGCAAACCCCTAGTCCCTAAAAATAGTAATTGTTCAAAATAAAATAAAAATGTTAAATAAAATATCAATATCAATATAGCCTTAGCCTGCCAGGGACACACTTATGAGAACAAAACTTACCAGAGAGACTCCCACCCTATAAACAACAATCCCCTTGAGATAAGCAACAGAAGTAAAAAAAAAACAAAACAATTACACTAAATAAACAAGGCCAGATCAAAGTACCTTGGATCACATGTTTACAATATACATATATAAAACTCTGATAAAAGATGCAAAAATACGTTGTTAAGGTCCTAAAATTAGCCCAACATTCCAACTACATGTAAGAAGCCTGAAAAGAGAGATCAGACTTGTGCTAGAAAACTGGCATCCCTGTTGTTTCAAAGCTCTTCTCAATAAAAAGTACATGTATACATGTTTTAGGCCCTAACATGCCTAATGTTATGATGCTGGCATTACCATGATATTACCAGTGTATTAAGCAGTAATAAAATGAGCTTAGTTATCATCTGCATATTACAACTACGAGATTGAGTAAAAGCTGCAACGTAGGTAGAGATAAAGTACCGTAGGTAGGCCTACATGTACGTCATGTGTTCCTTGCTCCAAGGTGTAACTGGAGGCCTGATGTTTTAAGCCATGGATAATAGAGCATGAAGCTAGGACGCAAACTACAAGCGGGGCTGACGTTGGACCCCAAAGTTCTGGGGGTAGACAAGTCCGAGTAACTTGGACCCTACAGATCGGCTGTTTTAGCGTTTGGACACGGTTGGGCGATACAGCTTTTTTAGCATTTGGACATGGTTGGGCCATAGTGGAATCCAAGTTACTCGGACTAGGGTAGGGGTAGACATGGTAGAGGTAGGCCAGCAACATGCAGACATGTACTAGGCCTGGCACATTTTTACATATCACCGTCTGACCGTAATGTAAAAACATCACGAGGTGAAGTGACAATGAAGCAAAGTAACAAATGGTCACACATGCACATGGGTCATTCCATGAGGTTGGGGCACAGTTTGTGACGGTGTCCTTGTTAGGCCTACATGGGATGGGTAAATTTTACCATCTGTCATGACCTGTAGAGTAAAGATAACACAAACCTTTGTTTTCAGCCTTGCAACAAGATAACAATGTCAATTTGGAATCCACATGCAGAGAAACAGATGTTTATTTTTATGGAACCCATTTAACAATATTATGCCCCAACCTCATGGAATGACCCACATGATAAAATACAGTCGCAATGGCGAATTGAATTTGGCACATTAAAACTAGCATGTGTCGTGCAACTGCAAGTAGGCCTCTGCCTACATCATCATTGTGACATGTAGGTCTACATCATACATGTACATGTATATAGTGTATGTACATCATACATGTACACATGTACATGGCCGGCCCTAACACTAAACCGGAAACGAATCAAACGAATGACAAGAGAAATTCTTATATTTATTCATCATGCCAATTTTACCACAAAATACGGTAGACCTACCTCGTTAGTTCAAATGCAGCAGATTTGACTTCAAAGAAGATCGACAGATTTTTATTGCAAGCAGATGATGTGACCGAACGGCCTAGTTGTCGTACGATCCCAGGGGCCGTTCCCGGCATTCAGTAGGTTCACGTACGAAGCATGCGAATGGTGCGTGGTACCGATCTTTCTACCGCGGTCAGACGCGGTAGAAATGGTCGTATGGTAACTTCTGGCTTGGAATAAACTAGTGCACAGTTATTTTACAGGTACCAGGCTACATCGGCACTTAATCATCTACATGGTCAATGGAATTACGGATGATGATTAATTCGGCCTAAAAGGAAGCACATTGAGAAGTGATATCAAGAGGGTATACTATCAGAAAAAAAAAATGAGAAAAAGGTACCAAGTGGCAAGACTGAAGGATGTAATTTAGAGGGAAGGACCAGGGAATGGGTTGAGGCATTCCTCCATGATTGAGGATATGCAGACTAGACCTGCAGACGAGATCAGGGGAAAAGGGCTATGGATGAGGAACGGGGAAATGTAATTCAATTAATTTCAATTTTGAAAAAGAGAGAGGGGGAGCGGGGAGTGGATTCTGATACTGGGGCGTGAGTCTCCCAACAAGACTGGCAAAAAAGACCCTTATCCCATTGGAAGGAAGTACACGTACTTTTATGCACATACGTTCCATCACTGCATAATGCGCATCGCAAGTTGTTCGCGCATGGGGGGGGGGCAAGGCCTGCTCGTTCCCAGAGTGTTGAATACTTCAATGCCCACTAAAGGTAATTATTGGAAACGAAGTTGACAAATTATCATCGCAGTAGCCTCTGAAAAGGGACTGTCCCAGCTCCGGCTGTGACCTTGCTGTCGCTTTTGGAACAAATTCGTACGGTTTCAATCCAAGTCAAGAACCATTCTGTACGGATTATCCCCCCGCCAGGATGAAGAAGCTGCAGCAGTTTGTGGAGAAGAAAAAACTTGATCACAAATTCAAGCAAGCTGGGTCTGGTCACAGGCTTGATGAGCAGAGACAAATGTAAATGTTATTGTTAACGCCTAGCCTTACGCATGCCTAACGTAACGTTAGCGCTGACATGCATGATCCGTGTTGGCCGCTAGGCTTCACTAGACAGACTAGCGAGGCCTACAGGTATCGTAATTATATCGGAAATTTGTAAAACGTCTGAATAATGCAGATGTGTGGATACGCAAAAAGACAAGAAAAGAATGTTGCACCCTGCCTGCACTTATTCACCATACTCCTATTTCATACTCCTATTTCATCTCATGTAGAATGAATCTGGAACTGAGAAAAATTTCCACTTTTGGTTAGAAAAAGTAAGTTTTTTTGGATCCCCATAGATGTGGAAATTAATATTGAATGGAAATTGAAGCTTGATGTACATTGACAATGATAATTGTGAAGTGCCGTAACTATAGATTTTAGAAGTTACGTTACGGCATGCTTATGATTATCATAACTTGTGTAAGGCTATGGGGCAGCATGTACCGTACCACCAGAACTGTGGGGCCGACGAAGCAATTTTGACCCTATCTGCATATAAATTGGACCCATCATCTCCTCAGTTGCTTGCACGGACCATGCATTCTTGTCCATTTGTGCGTAGTTTGTCGCATGTGTACGCCATTCCTGATTGATTACTGATCATGCATATTCAGCTTTGCACCGAATCACTACGTGTGAATGGCTCACATTGCCTTAATAACTGATCATGGTTTTTGCAGTCTCTCAGTGTTTATGTAATCATTAGAGCACCATCTCTCAGTCACACAGATCTTCATGCACTGATCACGCTCATCATTTTCAGATTAGTGAATACATGTACATGTAACAGTGTGATGCCATCAAGAACTTGTGAAAACCGGTAAGCTTAACATGCGCTTGTATCCTCCATTCACAGGCCAACTGTCTCTAGCTCCCAGCAGCAGCCCACTCGATTGCCTCCAACACAGAGTGCAGCACGTGCCGGTGAGGCTGCCCTGGCCAGGATACAGCAAGACAGGCGTGGTTCAGCAGCCAGTAAAACAAGAGCCCAGAAAGCCAGTGGTGAGCAGACCAGTCCAAAGAAGGAAGGGGGGGTGTGACTGTTGAGGTGGAAATCTGTCCGGTTGTGCTTTGTTGTAGTGGAGTTCATCACAAGTCTTTTCACAACAGACGCTTACTATTCTTCATTTCTCGAGACGCATGGCCACGATTCCTTTGAATATGGACGTGGCTTAAGACTGGATGGCTTGTAATGGACTTGCGGGGACTTGTAATTTATTCGATACAGTGTGGTACATGTACAAACTTGTGTGCAGGAGGGAAAAGTGGAACTCGCCTTGAGAAAATACATGTACACAGCATTGTATCAGAGAGATTTCCATCTGGAAGTTTTTAAAGTTTGATGATTCGTGAGGGGTGCGTTATAATTCCTCCTGCACAGGAGTTGTTATAAGGTGTGAAAATGGAAAAGGGGCACCCCATTTTCAACTAAAGATCACGTAATTTTTGAAAGATTTGTAACTGGAAAATTTTTTTTTAAGTTCATTGTGGAAGAGTGGATAGAAATCTACCTGGTCTGGGTGCTTGTAGATGCCATATTATACTCCACAGTAGGTTCTACAGAAAATGAGATTGTCTAGGGATGACAGAACGTGGTTGTCTGAGGGGTGGGGAGAGAAGGAAGTGCAAACCCCTCACTCCCAACAAACAACAGTTCTGGGTACACATTTACAGTGTGTGCATTGTCGTTCCTAAGAGAAAGATGTGGTCACACTTGTACATGTAGCAGGATGCTTTCCAAATGTTATTAGTGATCAAGTTGATACAATTCATGGGTTGAAGTTTACACGCAAGCAGACTCAGAGGTGTTTTGATCATTCCAGTGTGTGTTTTCACTGTTCTTGGAGGAGGGCAATCAGCGCACCTCCCCTACCCCATGCCATCCCGCCTCTCTTGATAGACAACGGGTGTGGTATGACTCAAGATCTGGTCTTTGTGTGGACAGTTGCTTTTCCATTTTGTATGGGTGAATGTAGTACATGTGTTGTCTTTTCTGTATCTCATACACAGTGCGAGCCGAGGTAGAGGCTGAGCAAATGGCTATAGACAGGATGAACAAGTTCACAGTGTCCTCACAGGTGATTTTTTTTCTATCAATGGCATCATCCTTTTTTCCCCTCAGATATTGTGTTGTCTCTTTTCTGTGGATGAAAAGCATGAGGGGTTGTCTTGGGGCTGCCATTGATATGCACCCTTCTCCTTGTGTGCCTGGTGCAGAGTATAAATAAAATTGAAGAGATTATTTACATGTACAATGTAGGTATCGATACTCCTCTAAACTACTCAAAAACTTCGTAAAGCATACATGTAGCACGCTATGCCAAATGGAATGTAGCGACAGTCACCTTTTGAGGCCCAAAAAGTTGAGCAATATTGGCAAACGCTATGAGCTCTGAGCCAGACTAAGAAAGGGTGCAGTTTTCCTAGCTACAGGGATTTCTTTGGTGGGAACTACACTTTGCTGGTTCACAAACCACTATGGAATGCACGTGTTAAGGTCACGTTGCTATTGGAAATTTGAAAACGCCCACCACCATGGCTCTTCTCAACTGATTAGGGGGTGCTTCTGCTCTGGGCAGATACCCCAATACCTCGGGTAAGTTTTTGCAAATGCTTCCAGAAATATGTTTGTGCTTTTGGTCATTGGGCGTTTTCACACTTCAGTTATAGCTGTGTGACATCACTGTTCCAACCAGACAAGAATGTTGGAGCAAGTTCAAATGGCAGAAAATGAGCAGACAGTTGTTCAGCGTCACCAAAATAATGATTTATACCCCGGTTTGTTGTCACATGTACATGCAACAATCCAGAATGGGTGCTTCCTCATGGAAGGTGAAAAGAGAGCGCATCGGGTATAAGAAACTTGCCAAATATTGAGTGGGAATGAGGCATTTTTTTTAACAATATCGCTTGCTACCTTCAGACCTTGTGCTTTCTCTCTAACGACATAACCATTACTTGTTCTGCATTTCTGCATTTCTTCCTGGTTATCACTTTGACGTCTTAAACATGTTTCTGGTTAGTGATTGCAAAAACACACTCTGGAATGTGTAATAGAGAATACAGATCAGTGGAGGGAATACCTTTGTGGAATGTCAGAAAACATAGAATCTCATCATTCCAAACTAATATCTGCTCAGTAACAAGAGATGCCATGCTGTTGTTGGGTAATAGTGGTCCTTCATTGGGAACTCACCACTTGCACACAACAGGTTCTTGGGCGTTTGGCATTGGATGCACTGAGCTCCCCAAATTTTCTGTTGGAATGCACATTTTTCCCCTCATCCACTGGGCGTACTCAGCATCAACGTTGTAAATTGTAACATCACAGCAAGTTTTGTGCTGCAGATGTGCAAAAATATGAGCATGTTTTGAACAGTATAAACTCTCAAAAATTTTGTCTCAGAGGCTCTGTGAGTTGAACGTTTCGTTGGATTTGTTTTTTGCAAAATAAATTGCAATAAAAAGTGATGCTGAAGTGACCTCAATTTCTTATCTGCATCTGCTCCTCAGGCGTCAGGTAGGCCAACGACACCCGAGCAGCCAGTCTTCCGTGACGACCAGTCTCCGGTGTCTGTGAGTGGCATCTTCTTCCGCTGTCCACTTGGCTGTGACCACATTATGCCCAAAGCATCGGTGGACGAGCACCTGCAATTGTGCATACTCACCAGGGTAAGCGTTGGTTATTCCTCGAGCTTGCTGATGGTGTGCAGTTAGCATAAAAAACTGACACATAATAAAAGCCCCACCTCATGGTATTCTGACCAATCACAACCACCATTGAGGTCCATCACAAGTGCACCGAACTCCAACATGCATGCATAACATATGCACATTCTTGGACACGGCGTAACGTTTATTTTGACACGTCTGAATAGAACATGTATATGGGCAGGCCTTACTGGATCGGTCTGTTGGCAGAGTGAATGCCTGTGATGAGTTGTCTCTCCTCAATCTCGTCATTTCCAAATATCCCAGATCTGTGTTCCAACTGCATGCGTGCACAACCAGATTTGATGGATTTTATTGGGGGGGGTGGATAATGCAGCTGGTATTTATGAGTGTTTGAAGCCATGTTTACTGAATCCTGCATTTTTTCGTTCTGTTGTCCATCCTGAAAGGAAAACCCTAACACCTTGTTGTTCACGTACAGAGTTGGAATACAGAACAGGATTAATGAGGTTCTCATTCCATTGCAGTAGAGAAAAAATTGGTCTTACAAGGCATGTGATGATTAAGGATTAACTTTTGAGTTTTCTTCCCCAGTTGCTTCCGGAAAATCCCCTTGAGGCGTCAGCCAAAATGGTCCACACCTACAATAAGGACAAGGAGAGACGCCAGGCTGGAATAGACATCATGTGCAAGTAAGCTGAGGCCAGGTTGGAGACTATAAGGATCCGTTTTGGGTTTCTTGTTAATTAAAGACAAAAATCCACTTACTCTGTTGAGGAATATATCATGAAGCTCGTTGTAGTTTCGAAAACAAAAATTATAAACAATCAATTGTCTTGTGCATAATTTGAGAGGTATGCCAATTCATCAAAAAGGATTTTCAGTGTCACAGTTACATCATTTCTCATGTAGTAGAAGCGCATTTATGTTTTTTTTATTTTTATGCCAAATGACTCAGTTGATAATTTAGAGCGTAAAGTCCAATCCATTTGTGAAATCACCCTGTATCAAAGAAGTCCTCAGTACAGCAGTGTTTGAATTGTTTTTCAAAATAACGTGACCTTAACCAGATAACAGTTTGTGTAAAGAACATTACATGGATACAAAACATCATCCATTACTGGGGGCCTTCCTGAGTGTGCATTACTCTTGTACTAGGATAGGCCTGTAGTCACATCCGTGAAGATTTACTCCACTACCTCTTACATAGCTCCTTTTCTACAACTGCAATTTTTTTAAAATTTTCAGATATCTAGACAATGTGTGCAGTAATCCTGGTGAGGAGAAGTACCAGAAGATCCGCTTGGGCAACAGGACCTACCAGGAGAAGGTGGCGTGTCTCGAGGGGTCGCAGGAGTTCCTTCAGGCAGTTGGATTCTTTCCAAAGATGCTGCCCCACCAAGGTAGAGCCTCAAGGCCAGTCATTGCCCAGAGATACTGACTTGATCCGTACGCAAGAGGGCCTAAAATAGTATTTTCTATTACAAAAATGGATCCACCTTTTTTTTTCTCACATCCCACAGAGAATGAAGAGGCCTTCCTTGTCCTAACCCCAGAGGCAGCAGCTAAAACAGAGCAGCTGCACTCAGCCTGTGAGCTGCTGCGGACCACCCAGCCCCTGAAGGCGACCCTCCACCGAGACATGAAGATCTATCGGAAGTCCTCCCATGCCAGCCAGTTCCGACTGCCCCCGGACTTCTATCGACTCACACCGGAAGAGGTCAAGAGAGAGCAGCAGCTTAGGTGCTTGTCTTTGTCTAGACATTAGATAGAGCATAACATGGTTTGAGGTTGGGTAGTTGATGTTAGTTCTCCGTGGTATTGGAGTTCAAGAACTAGTATTTTGTACACCTGAAACCCTTTGATTAAAGTAAATAGTCTCATATGGCATTAATGCTTAGAAACTTATCAATCCTCTCTCGGTGAAGCCTTTGTACCTGTATCTCCCTTGTTGGTGGTCTTTGTTGATTTACTTTTAAACGGCAGGCGCCTTTCAACACACAGTCTGCATACAGCACAAACTCCTAGGTTTTTTCTCCTAGAGTACAGTAGATTTTATTGCTAAGGTATATAAAATATCTTGTACATCTGTATTGCAGTCGTATGTCAACCAATCTTGTAACAAATTTTGATGAAGCTTGGTTAGTATTTTCTTGTTTAATTTTGTAACCATATTTGTGTAACTTGGATGTCTCTTTCTTTCCTGTTATTACAGTAAAGAAATTCAAATTCATAACAAGCAGCGAGCCATGGCGGCTTTGCCATTCTAGTTAAATTGTTTCTGGCCCATTAAGCAGGGATAATATGGTGTAAAGTGCATTGAGAATCCATCATGTACAAGAATGCGCAAAAACGAAGACCTTGTGTATCATTATTAGTCTTTAGTTTATTATTTTTTTCCTTTCATTTTGAAACAACAGGACTGAGGAGGTGGAACGCAATGCCATGCTACGAACCAAGGCGATGAGGGAGGCCGAAGCCCAGAAGAATCTTCGCCAATATCGATACGCTCTGATCAGAGTACGGTTCCCCAATGGTATTCTCCTCCAAGGTGAGCCGACCCTTGAAAGGGTCTGTGCAGTGCAATGGTTTTAACCACAACCCTTAAAAATTCACCTTTCTGTTTCAATTAAGGTTGCTTCCAAATTTTGTTTCTCTATTTTGAAATGTATTTTGTTACGTTTTTTGTTCTTATGCTAATGGTTTCCATATTCACGAGCAAAGTTTTTATGTCATTCTGGAAAGGAAGCCTAAATTGTGCATTGAGTTGTTTATAAAAACTGCTGGAATTTTTTCATATTTTGCTGTTGTAAATTTTGTAATTTCTGTTGGAAGGTTTGACTGGAGCTTTGATGTCATTCCGAGGAGAAAGCCTAAATTATGCATTGCTTTGTTTATAAAAACTGCTGAAATTTTCTTTTTATTTTGCTGTTGTAAATTTGGTAATTTTTTGTGTTGTAAAGTTTGTCTGGAGTATTCTTGACTCCCATATTGGAACCACAGGTACATTCCGTGCATCGGAGAATCTCTCTGCGGTCATGGAGTTCACAAGGGGTGCACTGATCAATGACTGGCAGCCATTTGTTCTAACTGATGCGACGGGGAGGAAGCTGACAGAGGAGGACTGCACTTTGGCCGAAGCTCAAACTGGTGAGATACCAACCCTCGCAATTAGTTACATACCAAATTTCAACTATGCTATTAAATAGAGTTGTTGACTCAAGTCATGCTACTTGGACTCAAGTCAGATTTGAGTCATTGTTTTTGTGACTTTGGCTTGTGACCTGACTTAGACTTGCTTGAAATGACTTGTTATGTGACTCAGACCAGCAAAAAATGACTTGTTACATGACTTATAATTCGTTGTGTGCCCGGCAGAAGGGCATAAGCGCTTACGCCCTTTTACCTGGAAGCATGATCACTGCCAAAAAGATTTCCGTGGCAGAAGGACAAAAGTATGCGACTAGCATATTTTAATGAAATATGAAGATTTCTTGGCAAAGAGTAAACAAAAAAAAATGCCCAAGTCCTTTAATAATTTGTTCAAAGGTTGCTTTTTATACAGTCCAGGTTGATTTTGTAGTAAATTATATATCTGTTTTTACTAAATAAAGAGAGTGTTTTTCTTACACCCTTTTGCCGGGAACTTTTTTCTGCTGTGATCATGCTTCCCGGAGAAAGGGCGTAAGTGCGCTTATGCCCTTCTGCCGGGCACCCGACAAATTAGATTAGCAAAAATGACTGTAACCAATGCCAGTCAGAAACTATTCACATGACCTCAGTCT